AACACATTTTAGCACAGAGTTGTGAGTGATGTTGGATTCTGCAAGAGTTATCGGTTTTCCAGTTGTCGACCTGCGAAGATAAGTTGCTGCTGGCCAATTGGCATCCTCGTACGAGCTTGGTTGAATGCTTTGACTGACCGCACGGTAGACGATGGCTTGATCCCGCCAAGTTTCCAGGCTCTGCCTTGGACTAGTAGTCGATCAGCGGTTAGCCATGAGGAGAAGATGACAACCCTCGGCATAACTCACGATTGTTGACATAGATCGTAATTCTCTCTGTAGTCGGATCCTTTAGGAAGAAAACTTTACGATTCTCTGTTGGTTGTCGCTCACATGATTCGAGAGTCACTGTCATGACGAAATGCAGCAGAGCCCGGTGATGGAAAACTGTGTAGGCAGATGCGTCAAGCTCAACCTCGCCTGTCTCCCACTCTGGCTTAAAGAGCACGGTGAGGTCTTCGTCGTGAATGTCTTTGAGTTGAGGGAAGACTTTGCGTGCTGAACGGAGCAGATGAGGGTACGATGGAAGGTTTGTGATCAGGCGCTTCCTGTCACCATAAGCTATAGTGATTACAGCGGCCATGGTCCCTGGATGGCGACGTCTAGTGCGCCGATCGATGGGTGGGTGCCAGGGTTTGTAGACTTCGGGGGCGGGGGGACGCGGTCGACTGATACTGAACGATTCGTCCGTTGCAGAAAGTCCGTGACAGAGAACGAAGTCGGGCAAGGTAAACGTAATGCCGCGAGGGTGGGTTTGGATATTCGGCCTACCTACCTGAGTATCTTAGGTGGGAGGAAGGAGCAGTGTCAGGCTAAATCTTAAGCACTTTGGTGAAAAGAAACCTGATGGGGGAGGTTACGTCGGCACGTACCTAAAGGCAGTCGATGTGGTTTGCGGATTGTGGAAGGTCTTAAAGGAGGGAAAATAGCCGCATAAAAAATGAGGGAAGGAGTTGCCTACCTGAGGTGTGTAAATCGACGTGGCGGAACGAGCTATCAAAACACAGACTGCAATGGATCGAGCAACCAAGCGCAGCAATCTCCCAAAAGATGTCTGAGTAGTTAGAGTTTCGAGAATCGTGACTATTTACTTTCACTGGCCATTTGACTTCGTCGGGGGCTTTTGTCCTGGTTCGCTTTGAGAGACAGACCCTCTCTGCTTTGTTATGTGTTCTGTGATCTTTGGCTGCTCAAATATCCCAACACAATATTACTTATGGATATCACCAAAGCAGTACCAATTTGTGATCATTGCCACAGAAATGGAAGGAATATCGTTATGGATGAATAGGCAAGATTCTCAACGAGAGCTATAGAAGGAGGCGAGCCTAAGAAGTACAACCGGGCAGAACGATCTCCATCTTGATAACTAGTTCCTTCCATAGCTGCCTCTGGACATCCAAGCCATCAGTGTTCGTCATCCATGTCGGTATCCAGTATCTGTGTGGGAATTCTTTAGCACATGTTCCACACACCTTCTAGAGAGTCAGGATGTGACAGTGTCTCACATACTCCTTGATCTGGCAACCCGACAATAGTTTCCCATGGCTGGTATTGCCGGCCACGATACCGTGTAAGATAGTTCGACTGCCTTGCTCAGCTGTTCGAGCCAGCAAGATTCGGACTGCTGCGACCCATATCCGAGTCCATGTACGAGCGTCGTGACCGAGACCGGTTGAGCAGAGGCCAGGCGCGACCATGTTGACAACAACCCCTGTACGCTCCACCGGAAAAGCAGCGGCAAATTCGCGTACCACATACATTTCAACGAGCTTGGTGAGAGCATAGCTAGAACTCGTGTGAGCGTGCAATCACGGGCAAGGCAACAAGTGCTCCATACCGTTGATCCATGTCAGCCCGCTTAGGGTCATTCATGCCATCGAAGATGTTGACTTTTCCACTTTTCTTCAGCTCTTTCCCCGCTACGAAGCCAAGGGTGCTGACGACAAATACCAAGCGAGGCTTGATGCCGGATTGCCGTGCAACTTCGCTTAGCTTTGGCATCATAAGTTGACCGAGAAGGACTGTGCTGACGACATTCACAGTCATGCATGTTTCCATCCCTTCAACGAGCTTGAACTGATCCAACATGACGCCTGCGTTTTCAATCAAGGCATCAATCCTTTCGAGCTCTCCGCATGCTTTGGTCACAAAGGCCTTGACAGAAGAGAACGAAGCCAGATCGAGGTGCCATACGTCAGCTACGCCTGTACGGCCTGTCGACGTCTCGATGTCGGCCTTGGCCTTCTGTCCTGCCGCGATGTTTCGTACAGCAAGGATGACTCGTTCAGCAGAGCATCGCACAAGATGCCTGGCGGTTTCTAGCCCTATTCCATGGTTTGAACCTGTAACGATATAGGTCTTTCCTGAGCAAGATACTGGTTCGATAAGAATAGGCAGTCTGTGAAACTGTTCGAGGGTGACTTGCAAAGCAGACATCTTGTATGTCTTGTACAAGCGAGGATACCGTATCAGTCTGCTACAAACAATAATAGCATGCATAGATGGAGAGGAATAGGGGCCAAGGTACCGAGGGAGCAAGAGACTGGGCTCTTTCAAAGCTGGAGGTAAGAAGGGGGACAGGTGGTCCTGGAAAGTCTGGGTGAAACACCGACTATTTATGCTTAGGAGGAGCCCCATACTCGCGACTTGGACCAGCTCGTATCGCCGCGCGAGAGTAAATTCCGAGCCAGCAAGAGACAGTGGGACGAAGCGGGTGATGCATTCAACAGAAATTCGTCTTCTCATGGCTATCAGCCATATCGCCTGAGCCAGCACGGGTCGTTGTCCCTTGGGGCCAATCAGATATTGGTATCCCCTTCGGGAAAGGTGACATCGGTCTTGGCGCGTATCCCCTTGTGCCAGACATACTCCCATCAAGGCTGGGCCCTTCAAAATGCGAAAGATGATGGTAAAGGGGCCTAGTTCTCTATTGCATCGCTAATCTTCGAGAGGCTGTTCCGATCAGCACTTCCATCGTTGTCTCTGCACTCAACAGCTTCCCAAAGGAGCATGCCAGGCCTATCGTGGACTGCAAATATCCAAGAATACTCGCAAAGAACTCGGCGAGCATCCATCCAAGAACGTATCTTTTGAGATCTACAGGCGTCTGACAGCAATGATAGCAACCACTCTTCATCTTCACCTTCCAGAATCGAAAAGCCGACGATGAACGATGCCCACACAAGAATCTTCCCGTAGCCGCTGGAGGTAGATTCAAGATCCTGAAGAGCAACTCTTAGGTGGCTTGATAGAAGATCGTACTTTGTATGCCTGTGGCCGTATTCTGGAAGGAGGGGTGTTATGAAGGCAATCAAGGTCAGATGGACCAGGTTGTCAAGCTGATTGGTAGGACGCGGGCCTCCTAGAGGCGAAAACTTGATCAGGCGATAAAGAAGCGACAAAAGAACTTCAAAGTAGTCTAGAGGGTCTAGTTTGTTTTCTTCAGTTCTTGTGTTCAGAATATCAGAGAAGCGGCATATGTCAAGCATGAGATGGCGGAGATTTGGATGCAAGCCGTGGGATAAGCCAGACTTCGTAGACGGTAGCCGACGAGGCGGGTCGATTCGGACCTCTCGTAAGAGGTCCATACCCGGGATATCATCCGCACAGAATCGGGTTGGCGAACCATCTTGCACGGCGAATTCAACATCTAATCTAATAAACCGTGAGAATTGTACAATTGGGATATTGAAGTGGAAAGTCCTGCACCTCCAAGGCTTCTGAGCTAACGAGCGATTTTCTTTTGCGAGGTTTGCGATGCCGCCTCGCAATTTAATAATGCGATAGAGTCCGTCGAAGTGAATTAACCCGGTAGATTGCTGGTGGTGTAGGCGCTGGTAAATAGCAAGAGCAGTCACTACGGCGATGGCCCTGTCCGAGATGGCTCCGGGACCGGAGAGCTTCTCGTTGACCAAGGAATACGCCTTAGAGAGGTGCTTTAAGGCTCGAGGAGACGTCTGAGCCTTGCCGAGGAAGCAGTCAACATACGACGCCGCTATAGCTAAGATGCAATGAAAGTCTAGTCGAATTAGCACGGTTGTGCCAAAGTTTGCGTTTTCGACGTACGAGCTTCATCTAACAGGGCACTGTAGACCCACACGGAGTTCATCATATCAAATTTTGAACAAAATTCAGATGGATACAGGGTTTCGCCAATGATCAAGAACCCTAGGATGCGGTCAACTAAGGTCAGGGCTATCGGTGCAATTGCCAGCCATTGTCAATCGTGCATTGGTATTGGCTCACATTGCTGCAACAATGATTTAGATTCGACACTGAGCTGCTGAGGAAATGGGGTCAATGCCAGATTGTCCCAGAGCAACTGCTTGAGCTCCAGAGCATGCGCGCAGTCATGAGCCTCACAGGAGGCATATGGACTACGACTTTGTATCGGAGGGGGCTCAGAAAGGGTCAGGACGCGTGTTGTGGGTAGAGTGCCACGCTGTTTTCTCGTCGTCGGCCGTGGCCTGCCAGCATTCTTGCCCTTCATGACATGGGATCGGATGAGCCGTCGTTGCTCCGGACCCATAGTCTCGTGGTTGATGAACTGCAGCGGCATCTCCGGCATGATCGCTGCGGCTGCGGCTGCGGCTGCTTTTCGTCCGTCCTGCTTGGCTCCGCTCGTTGATGATCAGGCCTCCCAATGCACTGCGATGTAAGTGTATTGTGCTCAATGGAATGGAACGAGGATTAGACAGCCACTGTTCGTTCTCTTCGCGTAGGATTGGGCGGGGTTAGAGTTAGGGGTGGTGTCTCTGATCCTTAGTCCTTAGCGGACTGGGAGCCGGACTTAAGCAGCCTGGTTACGGCGAGCAGGTATCTAGGGGCATTTACAGCTGGAATTGCCAACAGGCTGGAGAATGCCACGCACATGAACAGACCCCTAATGTCACTTCAAAAGCGGCGAAGGTGGCTTGGTTGAAACAACGACAAACCAAGATGCGCCTTGTTCTGCTACTCAATTGCAATAACATGTCTATCCAATCGCCGCCTGTTGGCTATGCTTGAAACTCAAATGCCTCACCAATGTCCAACACACAGCGTGCTCTGACATCCTTCGGGCTAGAGCTGGTTGAAATAGACACTTCGTGCCGCCCGCCTTCCACCCGCCACACCTGACCACGGCGCTCAGCAGGTTCATCAACCCAGAACGCCGCGGCGTCTCTCTTAAACGTGAGCCTCAGTTGCTGCTCCTGCCCCGGCTGCAGTAAGACCTTCTCAAACGCCACAAGTGACTGAGGCGGTCGGCCGACGTCTGCATTGCCCTTCGGCGGTGCGAGATAGACCTGCACTGTCTCGGCTCCTGCTCGCGAACTCGTGTTCTTGACAGTCACAGTCACCGTCACCTCGGCATTTTCATCTGCCTGACTGAAGGACCCCATGAGCTCTGCTTTGCCGACTTCGAAGGTGGAATAGCTGAGGCCAAAACCAAACGGGAAGAGCACCTCCTTTTGGGTGCCGTAGAGTCGATCAAAGTGTCTGTACCCGACATTGACGCCTTCAACATACTCCACTTCACCACTGTCATAGCTGTCAAGGCCAAAGTTTCCGTAGCAAGCAGTATGCTCGTATTTCTTGGGCCAAGAAACCGGAAGCTTGCCGCTCGGGTTAACGTGCCCAAGCAAGACGTCCAAAATGGCATTTCCTGTCTCTTGACCCCCGTACCATGCCTGTATCACAGCAGGCACCTCATCTAGCCATGGTATCTCAACAGGCACACCCGTGGCGATGACGACGATTGTGTTTGGGTTAGCTTTGACAACCTCCGCCACGAGCCTGTCCTGTGATCCATCCGCCGGCAGCGTCATACTTGCCATATCTTGACCCTCAGTCTCCCACTGCGCTGTATTCCCCACAATACAGATTGCAATATCTGCATCCTTTGCGAGGGCGATCGATTCCGCCAAGAGATCTGTCTCCATTTCAGCTTGATGGACAAGTCCCAAGTGTACCGAGATTTGATCTTGGAGGAGGAATAGCTCCGAGTTGTTGACCTGGGACGGAATTGACTCGATCGTGATGTCATACGATTCAGTGCATAAAAAGTCATGCTGGAATCGATGCTCCTCTTGCACGCCAAGTAGGAACCCCATGCTATCTTTAGTTTCCTTGACTTGGTGGCTAACTAGCTGACCGTGGATGAACAATCTGGATGGACCGAGGCCAGAGAAGCTCATGTAGTGTTTGCCGGAAGACTGCGGCCGATATTTCGTACTGAACCGCACAGACTGTGCCCCAACCACTTTAGTATTCATGAGTGTGGTAAATGAACCTCTTGGATATTCTTCGACGTGGAATGGCTCTCCACTACAGTCTTGACTTTTGAAGAAGTCTGCTATGAACCCGTCATTTCCATTGCGATTTGACGTTCCCTGCTCGAGGTCTGGAAAAACGCGGAAAATGTGAGTGCCTGGGTTGTACTTCGTAGTTAGCAATCTGTAAAGCTACTGCTACGACAGAGTGAATCTTAACTCACCTTTCGAGTGCGTTATCTCGCATTTATCTCCTAATCTTTGTTGAAAAGCATCATACGGGTTTACTTTATAATGACAATTCAATGATGCACTACCACCTCCATGAGCTGAAGCGTACTTGGCTAAAGGTCCTAGAAGCGCAATCTTGCGAGAATTCTCCGGGTTCAACGGCAGTACTGCTGGGGAGTTCTTCAGAAGCACTATGCCTTCGGCCCCAGCCTCTCGGATGAGAGCCTCGTGCTCGGGTCGGCTGATAGCTTGCTCTTTGGGAGTGTTCTTACGATCGGTGAGCTTGCCCGTTCTCTTGAGCAGTTTCAAGACTGCCAATGCTCGCTGGTCAATGTCCTTAATATCGACTTGTCCGTCATTTAATGCCTTTTTAACAACATCTAGTTGACGACGATTCGGGGGTCCTGGCATTTCTAAATCAAGGCTGGAAATAAGTTAGTTATGACAATGTGACTACACTTTGATGTCTGTACTTGCCCATTTTGTATGCTTGCAGAGGCATCAGACGTCGCTCCCCAATCGCTCATCACTAGACCTTGAAACCCCCACTCGCGACGTAAGATATCGCGTAAGAATGTAGGCTGTGCATCTACATGTGCTCCATTGACCTTGGGGTAGCTCGACATAATACACCAAGGATCTGCTGCCTTGACGACTATTTCAAAGGGGCGAAGGTAGATCTCCCTGAGCCAGTCAGTAACTTCACATCAACAGCACCGCCTGCTTCATCCTTACCTCAATGCCCGCTGAGAGATCTTCTCATTGACTGAGAATCGCTTCGTGTCCTGCTCGTTGGCTACAAAGTGCTTGACGGTGGCTGCCACCCTCTCGCTCTGTAACCCTCGCACGTATTCACTGGCGAGTAATCCCGTCAGAAGGGGATCTTCCGAGAAGGACTCGAAGTTCCGGCCTCCAAGTGGTGAGCGGTGACCACAGACAGTAGGGCCAAGCAGAGCATATGCGCCTTTCGTCTGTGCTTCCTCGGCCAAGGCGACGCCGATTCGACGAGATAGGTTGCGATTGAATGTAGCTGCCAGTGAGACGCAGGCCGGAAAGCAAGCTGCTGTGGTGCCATCAAAGAAGTCGCCGCCGCGTGCGCCATTTGGCCCGTCCGAGACCTTTCCACAGTCAGAGTGGCCCAAGCAGAGGTATTGGAAGAAGCAAATTGCGGAACCTTGAGAGATGGGATCCCTAATCTGTCGATATTGGCAGTCTCCCACACATTTTTACCCGAAAGCATGGATATCTTCTCGTCTAAGGTAAGTTTTGCTAGAAGAGACGATAGCTCGGTATCTGAGGGTTCATTCGACATCGTGACCTCGTTCTGGCGCGCGGCACTTCGCTATTTCGTTCGTATTCTGGGGCTGTTCCAAGTTACTCTCCAGTATATTTGGCCGACATGTCACAAACAAGACTGTAGGCGTTTGAGCTGTGGGAAAGTATACCGCACTTAAGGGAAACAGCTTATTCAACATTTCGACACCATGCTGAAGGACTTTCCCAGGAAAATCCTACCAATGCTGCGGACCCGTAGCTCGAGTAATTCGATTGTCTCGCGACTCTAGCAAACATTAGGGCCCAGTATCGTCTAGAGTCAGACATGATAGGGCATGCCCCTCGGCAACCCACCTTTCCAACAATATCTCCTGAGATTCTCCGCTAGCGTCTCAGGGTCTTTCCGGCACAAGCTTCGCTTGACTCGTACAATGAACCCCTGGCTTTCTCAATCATCTGCTTCGATGATCAGATACTGCAAGATGATTACCTTCCATTTGCTATATACCCCATCTCAACCCCGTTCTTCTCGCCCGAGAGCGCTTGCCCAGAGTGTTGGGACTGATCTTGATTGGATCGATTCCCCACGGGGTTTTGGTATTTGTCGGTAACCTTGTGGAGCTTCGAGTCAAAAATCGTGTCTCGAATCCGAAAACGATATACCGGCATACATAAGGGTTGACATCCCCGGGCAAGTCGACTCCGTCGGTACTTGATAAATGGCAATTGCCTCTCTTGCATCTAGATCTAGTGCATTTACACCGAATTTCCTTGGACCTAACAGCGTGAGCGACGGATTCTCAGACATCTAATCGTCCATCTGTCGGTTGCCCGACATGAAATCTACTGAAGTACAACACATTGAGCCAGGTGGCGAAGATGCATACCCGGCTGTGCTGTCTACCTCGTCACTGGCTGCTCGATTCGAGCATCGTCAACACTCTTTGACTAGGATACAGGCCATCAAGGAGAATAAGTTACCATTGGCATGGTGTAGGTTGATTCTTCCAATACTCTGCGCTATCTTCTCTGACAGAAGACTCTAGGCATGTACATGTTCTTCATCTGCATCATGTGGGGATTTGACGGCCTCGCCGGCGGCGTAGTTGTCTCCATCGCGGAATTCCGACAAGACTACGGTACTGCTTACGATGGGGACTATGTCGTCGATGCAAATTGGCAATTAGGCTTCCAGGCTGCAACTCTCTTTGGTAAGCTTCTAGTGATCATGGCTTCAAAACAAAATTCAATGACTAACTAGCGTCTATTCCAGGTCTGATTTTTGGTGGATTCGTAGCTGGAGTTCTCATAGATCGATTCGGCCGTCAGCCCGTTATATTTGGCGCGTACCTAGTGTCTATCGGTGGTGTTTTCCTACAAGTGTTTAGCAAGGATCTTGCGCAGTTTTTTGGAGGCAAGATTCTCACTGGTATCGTAAGTCCCTCAGCAAAAGTACGAATGCCATCAGAGAGATTGTACTAATAATGCTGTAGCCGCTAGGCGTCTTCACAACAGCAGCTCCTCCGTACGCTTCGGAAATGGCCCCGCTAGCTATTCGTGGTTCGATCACAGCCGGTATGAACTTCGCGATCGTGGTGGGCCAGCTGATTGGCTACGGAGTCATGCGACAGTCTAGCTACTATGGCGATGCTCGTGCTTACAAAGTCTTGTTCGCAACCCAGTGGGGGTTTGCCGTCGTCGGTCTTGCTATATTGCCGTTCTTCCCAGAGTATGCCCCCCACATTAGGATCAAGAAAACCTCTACTTACGGCAGCGTAGATCTCCATACTGGCTCATTGCACACAAGCGACTTGACAAGGCCCGCAAGAACCTCGAGAAACTTCATAGCCCCGACTACGATTTTGACGGCCAGGTTGCCGAGATACAAGACTCCCTCAGCCTCCAAACACAACACAGCGAATCCCAAGGTGGACTTCTTGAATGCTTTGGGAAGGTCTCCTGGAAGAGGACTCTGGTTGCAACGAGCATGTTCTTCATTCAAAACGCTTGTGGCTCGGTATGGGTGATTGGTTATATGAGCTGTACGCATTGCAAAGGCGCCATGAAACTGATATAAAACTGTGTTTTTGCTAATACATGTCTTAGACTACTTTCAGCTCGCAGGCATGAGTGCTTCGAAATCTTTCGACACCACTGTCGGTCTCTGTGGAGTTATGGTCGTAGGCAACATGTGTGGATGGTTCTTCGTCGACTGGTTCGGGCGACGAGCAACAGCATTATACGGGTGCATAGCATTGACAATTACTCTTTTCCTGATCGGCATCTTGTCCGTGATCAACGCCCCGGGTGCTATTTGGGGACAAGTGGTCTTTATGGCTGTCTGGTCTTTTGGTGAGTTCAAAGTGATCTTTTCCACGTCATCCGTATTCAGCCCAGCTAATTTGGTCCACCACCTAGTTTATCAAGGAACAATTGGAGCTGTCGCCTGGCCTATCGCGGCTGAAGCCCCTACATCGAGGCTTCGTGCACCCACCCAGGCCTTGGCAACCATGATGAACGGTCTGTCCTCGTGCATCTGGAGCGTGTCTCTTCCGTACGCCATCAATCCGGATCAAGGCAACCTGGGAGGCAAGATAGCCTTCATTTTTGGAAGTGTCCTGGTTGCAGCCTCGATTTTTATCTTCTTCATGATTCCCGAGACAAAAGGCCGGACATACATTGAGATTGACGAGCTTTGGGCCCGTGCAATCAGCCCGAGAAAGTTCAAGCAGACCGAGTTGGTCGTGGTGCCGTCTGAGGAGCTAAAAGGGGCGACGGATTAAGAGGATTGAGTGCGTAGGATTCCGGTTAGGAAAGACTTTCGGTTGGCCTATTTGATCTCATACTCCATTGCAGCCAGAAGAAGAGCTCCTCGACTGATTGAGGGATAAGCCATTGATCGACCTGTTTGATATTTGAAACGTATGGCCGTCCATCTTCCCTATCTCAGGTCCCGCCATGTAGAGTCGTGGTGTATGTGCAGTTCTTAGCTAGCCGCTTCAAGCTTGTTCTTGCATTCCCAATCATGCGAGAGCCAAGATTCAATGTACCCTCGATGTTGAATGTTATGATTTGTGATGACCAGAGCGGCGTAACGCCACAAGCTCTCACTAGGTAATGATTAGCCACGACTGTCCAGCCGGCCATTCCGGAGGGTTGTTTTTGTTTTGTGGGGTTCTCCAAGCCCAATTCCAGGGGATCTCCCGGCACTCTTTAGTGTCAATACGGAGAAGCACCACCACTGCCGTGCAAGCAAGCCACCTTAGCAAGCAACAAACCATCAAGATGATGCATTGAGCAACTGAGGACGATACGATACCATGCGCACCTCATGGGTGGAAGCTCGCGCGTGGGCAAAAGAATCGCCCGTAGGGCATGTGATCTCTGTCGCAATCGGCGCACCCAGGTTCGATTATGCCCTGTCCAGCCCTACCCAGCCCTACCTTTGCCTTGCTTTGCCTTGACGCGAATGCCCTCATGCACCGGGGGTCTTTGGTGGACTATGTGGCTGACTCTTTTCGCTTCTCGAACCATAGTGTGTCTTCCAGGACGACGGCGCTTCAGCATGCCGAAAATGCCTGGATGCAGGGGTACTGTGCACCTTCTTGACAGACCGCAAGCCTCGAGGCCCTCCGAGTCGGTAGGCATACCTACCCACCTAGCCCCCTTCGCAACATGGAGCTTGTCTAGGTCCTTGACGCGATAATCAGCATACTGACGTGAGCCTTTGTTCTGGACAGGCACGTCGCAGAGGCACGACAGAAGGGAGCAGTCGTTGATGGCAAGGCGTGCCAGCGCGACGATGCAGCAGTGTATTCTGACCTGCCAATTGGTCCGCTGTCCGTCGCTCATTTCGCTCCCGAGCCGGCCTTCTTCGCGATTCTCGACGACTTTGTGCGCCGCGTCTATCCCGTCCTCCCCCTCATACATATACCGTCTTTCACCGCCAACCTCTCACACCGCGCCTTCGAAACAGACCCGGCCTTCTTCCGCCTGTGCATCTCGCTATGCGCCGTGACCGTCGCGTCCATTCCGCGGAAGATACTCAGTTATGGCGTGACCGGATACAAAGACGCCCGGGAGTTGGTGAACCGCGCCTCCCACCTGGTGCTTATGAGTCGCATCACCACTACCCCCGAGTGGCAGGACCGGGCGACTGTGGATAGCATGGTTGTTTCTGTGGTTCTGGCCATGGCTTCGCATTATGCAGGCAAACCCAATGCCGGCTGGGCTTACGCTAGTGAAGCCGTGCATTTCTTCCGCGAGCTGAAGCTCTATAGGGAGGAGGCATACCAAGGATTTAATGCCATCGAAGGGGAGCTATGCAAGAGGTCATTCTGGCTCCTCTTCATCATTCAAATGTCAGTGGGCACTCTTCTGGTGGTCGTTGTGGTGAAAGGCTCCGCTAATGTCTATCACCCTCGCTTTAGCCATGATCGCATGTCCTTCATTATTCCACACACGGGGTTGAGTTATGATCCGAAGCACACGGACTGGGAGTTTTTGCTGCCGCTCGAACTCAGTGACGACGAGCTTGCTGGCGAGACCCTTGGTGATGCCACAACCACAAATGGGGTGCCGGTGATATCTGGCTTCGTGGCCCTTGTTAAAGTGTTCGTCTGCATTGTCGACTATCTCGATACCGCATTTCCAGGGCCGCCCGCATATATTGGCCTGTCTCCAGGTGCACTGTCTGCACGACTTCTTCCGCAACCAGCACCGTACCAGCATACTTTCCGCCCTTTGCTCGAGCTGCCTCTACTAGATTGTTTGTCGAGGGTGACTGCTGGGTTACATGCGACACTGGGCCATCTCCCTGTTGAGCTGCGGATGCCTCGCCATGGAGATGATTCCTCTGCTAAACTACTGGCTCATCTCTCGCCTGACATCGCAGGCCAATTCGAGATAATGAGGGTCAACGTCCATATCACAGGCATTTACATTCGGTCAACCATTCTGGAGATGTGTCTCAACAAGCTGCAGACAATTGAACGGTCTGCATCCCCAGGTCGAACACCCGACGCAAAGCAGCTTGACATCATCACCGCTCAGCTGTGGCAGATGAAGGAGTCACTTGCGAGAGAGCTTCTCGATGTCTTAAGCATCTCATCTTCAGATACCCTTGAATCGAATGGCTCGTCGCTGGTAAGCAGGGATCGTATCCATCCTCACGCAGTATTACTGACGAGTCTTCAATGAAATTCAGATACAGAAAATTCGCGAAATCGCAGCGACATTCCTAGACTACGGCGACGCTCAGCTCAGAGACATAGAAAGACGCAGCCGGGAGTATTTGGAACAATTCGCGGAAATTCTTGCCAACCTCGATCATGCTCCAGGATCTCCCCTCAGGTTGTTGTCCGAGTGATTGGGTGATCTCTCTCCTCGACATTGAACATGCCTAGGGTCAACCGTGTTTCGTCGCGAAGACATTATTCTTACTACTACTGGCCTCTATAGATCACGCACAACTAGGAACTGCGTGCGACCTCGACATGTCGGGAACTCAATTGCGGTGCAAGGCTCCATGAGATCCGAACTTTTGTAAAGCAGGTATTGCCAATCAAGTCACCTGCTGAGGTGGAGATTAGCTCCTCCGCTTACCAGCCATCTTCTGTGGTGAAGTTCGCTTTTCAAGCAGCATTACAGGAGTTGAGAATGGCTCTCTACACTATTGCATTGTCACGTGTCGGGATCATAGAGCCGATATTCTTGTATCTGATAAGACAAACGCGATGTTATCTAACTACATGTGGGTTGTTATCTATGATCATCGCGCCGTATCTAGAATCCATCGGCCCGTTGCCACTAAACAACTTGCATTGGCGACGGCTAGAGAAGCCTATCAAGTTCTCATGGCCACTGGTCAATCCCGATCCTTGTCCCTAGTGTTGTGAGCAGGAGGTATGCTGATAACGAGTTGTCAAAGATAGATGATATCTTGGCAATATGTTTACAATGCTTTGCAACTTAGTGCTCCGCGTCGTTTTATATAAAGTTGACCCAAGGCGCAGATATATTCATGGAATGTCGTTATCGCTTAATGGTATTCAAGCCTAAGTGTCTCTATCGAAAATGCTAATTCGATTTGCTGTTGCCGTCGTGACGGCTATGCTGATCCCGACAACGGTTGCGACCTCATGCCAGCCCATTGGCAAGGCACTTCGATCATGTTCTGCCGATGCAATCAGCCTACCGTACATGCCTGGCACGGTTGTGTACGCTGTGACGGCTGAGAAGATCCTAGATTACTCGGTCACTGCACAAATTGCCAACCCTCAGATCGATTATGACACCACAATCAACTTCTGCAATGTCACAATCAGTTACGGTCACCAAGGATGGTATGACAATGTGACGGTAACTGTCTGGCTTCCTCTCAGTGGCTGGACCGGCCGTCTCAGCGGCATCGGCGGTGCCGGCTTTTCCTCGGTCTATACATGGAATCGTTTTGCACCTGCTGTTGACAATGGATGGGCTGCTGTTGGTACTGATGCCGGGCACGATCATAGCCCTCTCAGCGCAGGATCGTGGGCTCTGGATACTTCGGGAAGGATCAACTACTTTCTCCTCGAGAACTTTTTCGCGTCTTCCCAAGATGAAGCAGCCAGGATAGGAAAGAAAACCGTCCAAGATCTTTATGGAGAGTCCCCCAGTAAGTCATATTGGGATGGTTGCTCGACCGGTGGCCGCCAGGGCTTCCTCCTTGCACAGCGCTATCCAGATGCCTATGATGGCATTCTCGCCGGCGCGCCCGCAATCAACTGGGCTACGTTTGTTCCGGGTATGTATTATCCACAGTTCGTAATGAACCAGGAGAACTACTACCCACCAACTTGTGTTTGGGAGGCAATGAACAACGCCACCGTCGCGGCGTGCGATGGTCTCGATGGTGTAGAAGACGGAATCTTGTCACTTCCATCCGAGTGTGACTTTGATCCCCATATCATGGTTGGGCAATCAGTCAATTGCGCTGACGAGAGTATAACTATCACGACCTTGGATGCTGATATGATGGTCATGTTCTGGGACGGACCTACCTACAAAGACGGCTCGTCGATTTGGTATGGCATGAATAAAGGAACATCGCCATCAAATCTGGCCAATACGACTTGCTCTGGTATGAACTGTACCTCGGGCTATCCCTTTCAAATTGCATCCGACTGGATCAGTCTTTTCGTTTTCCAGAACGACACGTATGACCCTGCGACTCTTCCTGCAGAAGGGTTTGCCGCGGTCATGAACCTGTCTATCAGCGCACATAAAGCGCTGACAAGCACCGATAATGCCGATTTGCGTGATTATCGCAATGCAGGGGGAAAGATTCTGCACTGGCACGGCCTTGTTGACCAGCAAATTTATCCATCTGGCTCAGAACACTACTATAGGCGCGCCGAAGAACGTGATCCCGCTCTCCGAGACTTTTATCGTTTCTTCGAGGCACCAGGTGTAAACCATTGTGGGACCGGGTCTCCGACGGGCTATGGACTATTCCCCAAGGATCCCCTCTCCGCGTTAGTACGATGGGTCGAAGAAGGAGTTGCTCCTGATGTGCTGCCTGCTGCTACTCTTGATGGTAGTCAGCAGAGGAACCTTTGCCCCTGGCCAAAAGTGCCCGCTTTCAAGGGAGGTGATTATACCCAAGCTCAATCGTACGCGTGTGCAGACAGCTACTGAATCACTTTGACTTTTGAATGGCAACATTATAGTAGGGCAGCTTATAGAATCAGTTTGGGCACTCGAAATCTCAGTCAAAGAATTCGTGAATCACTCAATCAAGCTA